GGTAAAAGAACAACAAACGAAAAACATCATTAAATACATTCACACAGACATTGTTAACTTACCTGTCTCTGGCACAAAGTGTTCAGGCTTCGCCTCAAAAGGTTCATGCAGATATTGAAGTTCCACCATGAACTGTAAGGACAAAATGTTGGTGTTTTTATATTAAGTATATATTTATGGGTGTTTAAACCCAAACCTTTAGCACAAATCACAATGTGTCGGAGTATGAAAATTAAGGATGCACCAATTATAAAATTCTAGCCATTACCAATAAGCCAATAATTATTTTTATGTTGTGATAACTAATAATATGCCCTGATATAAAAATGTAGACTATTTCGTTAAAATAAATATATTAAAAATAACACACTACAAGTGAATTTAAGCATCACAACATTATAATGTACAGTGTGGCTATACATTTTGAGATCTGTAACATTTACATTTAACGGTGTTATTAAATTTTTTAAAACTAGCTTTCAAAGTTAGTGTTTGATAATGGTAAAGGTAATCTAAATGTAAAAATCTGAGAAATGAGCATTAAAATGAAATCTGCAATATCAGCTAATACGAGAGATAACCGATATGGTACCAATATATTGTGCAACACCCACCCCCCAAAAAAAATCTAGAATTTGTCACTCTAAATCAAACATCTGTTGTAAGATAGCAAACTACAGCAGTAATATTGACATGTGGCTCACCTCATTGTTAAACTTCATGGGATACTGTGTATCATCCATCCTGTAATGTAGAAGAAAGAGAAGCTCTTATTGAGACCGTTTCACACAGAGAAAAACCCAGAACTCCAAAAAACCCGAGAGGTAAGGTGCTCTAATACAGTAATGCTGAATCAAAACATCAACTGAGCTGCAAACTCCTACAGATGAATTTAATTTCCCCAGTTTTCCCCCACAGCAGTCTTCTGACCTACACACAAGAAGACGTACACTTAGCCTACCTGACAAACAAAATGCAGAGAAAAAGGCTCTCAGATTTACACAAAGAACTCACGAAAATCCGTTTCACTTTCAGTGTCAGAACAAGGATATGTGCACCGTATTTTTTTTTTACTCTGCCTCCCTCCTTCTGTCTGGCTGACTTGCGTTACTTCCAGGAAGTGAGGCAGTGAAAAAAACAGAGGAAAGCCCCCAGAATACCAGCTCACTGCTGCCACTGATGTCAAATCCTGAGAAATGCAGGCACAAGCATATTCACACTCTGATATCAAGCCTGCTCATATCTGAATTTCCTCAACTTTCCAAAGGCTTTTTTGAATTCCCTTCTCTTTTTTTTTTTGAGGTACTTTTGAAACTAAATTCCTATGTTTCCTTTTTCAAAAAAAATTTAGATTAAATTCTGTGAAAAAAAAAAAAAATTCCACCCATGTGTAATTTACTCAATGTATTTCTGAGTCTGTGTAACTGAATTAGTCAAATATCTCCATAGTGCCGCCAATACTAATGCCATGAGAACAGCCCTGAAAGATGGGTATTGCCCCCCATCTGTTGGCCTGCCCTTGCAGCCAAATCTTTAAACCCACGAACACTTCCACTGTAAACCATACAGGAAATGGAGCTGAAGATCTCTAAATGATATAACTACTAATACATGAGGAGAAATTGTAATGTTTCATTTCATTTATAACATTATTATTATTATTGGCTATGTTTGGCTACACTGGATGATTGGATTGCACAAGAGTTTACTTAAACTGCCACTGACAGGAATGAGGAAGCATTGTACTCTTCAGGATGAGCTGTACTGAGATTGCTCTAAAGTAGCAGATATACTTAAACCCATGGGACAACTAGCAGACTAAACTATGAATTTTCTTTCTGAGGTGTCAGGGCTCACTTTGAGTGAAACGCAAATCCTGACGTCACTGAAAAGGGTAAAAACTCTTCTGGATGACAACCACATCCTGTCCTTCTTCTGTGAAATGATAACATCTTCATTTCAGTCAAACAACCCCTACATTTAAAGAATGTCAAATTATAGACAAAAAGATTCATTAAGAAAATGCAAAAGAAAGACACTGTGAAAATGGTTTTGTCAGTCTAAAACAATGGATGTCAAACAGGGGCCTGGGAACCGCCAGGAGGCCACATAAACATCCAAAAGTGCGAAATTACTAAATTATTATTTTTTATTTTTTACATAAACCAATTTATGTTAAAATGCTAACAAAAACAAAATGTATTACTGACATGCCTTTCAGTACGCATAATGCATTTAATTAAACATATATCTCTTGAAACAGAATCATGATTGCTCTCAGTAATTAGGTTCAAATCAAGCAACTTAGCCTCATAGACAACGCATTAAAAAGTTCTTTAAAGACTAACCACAAGAAGATTGCTCTTTTCAAAGTAACAAAACATTTTTGAAGATTGCTCTTTTCAAAGTAACAAAACATTTTTGATGTAGAAAAATCACAATAAATCTGATTTTAACAGTCTTCCATAGGCATAAAATGACGTGACATGTGGCCAAGCATGGTGACCCATACTCAGAATTAGTGCTCTGCATTTATCCCATCCAAAGTGCACACACACACACACCCGGAGCAGTGGGAAGCCACTTTTTGCTGCGGCGCCCGGGGAGCAGTTGGGGGTTCGGTGCCTTGCTCAAGGGCACCTCAGTCGTGGTATTGAAGGTGGGAGAGAGCGCTGTACATTCACTCCCCCCACCTACAATCCCTGCCGGTACGAGACTCGAACCCGCAACCTTTGGGTTACGAGTCCGACTCTCTAACCATTAGGCCACGACTTCCCCGAGAGTTAGATAAAAGAGTTAAATAAACCATTGTATGTAAACCCTCTAATTATTTACATATTATAAGTTTATTAGTACTATCAGTATGCAAATTTGACTAATTACAAGTCTAGATGCTCCATGTAAATCACGTCCAAACCTTTTGGAGTACATTTATTTACAAGTGTATTTACAGTCTCATAACTAAGTGAGCTGCTCAACAGCTTATTGGGCGTCTAAATTCTGTATGTGTCAATGATGCCCTATCAAAAAAAAGGCTGCACAGGTAGACAGCTCACTAGGATGCGTGAGACAGTGGATAAAACTGTACCTTAGTGCTCCAGCCATTCTGTGCTCTGCAGGGTCATCCGAAGCAACTCTGGACTCCTGTCAGATTGAAAATTATGGAAATGATGAGTGAGTACACGGTGTTCGATGGGGATGTGATTCCCCTGCACGTGTAAGTCAGATCCAAAAAGTACTGACTTTTGATGGGAATTTCCCGCATACTCGCGCGAGCAGCAGCAAAATTAACACACGGGACAAAACTTGTACACTATCGATAACTGACATTAATGAACATTGCTCAAATTTTCGTTAGGTTTTGTTATTAATATGCAGTGATACTGTTTGCACGCGAGGGAGCATCATATTGTACAGCATCTCTGTAATGTTTTCAAAACAAGCTTAAAATAGATTTCTCTATGTAACTTACTAAGTAACGGAGTCATTATTTCTAAATAAGAAAGCAGAGCAGCATTCTCTACTATTTAAAGACCCACATTACTTGTTTCAAAACTGATCGGTAATAATGATAATTTCGTTTTTACTAACTTACATGAGCACTTATCAAACTTACCTTGGACAACCGTGATGTTTGCGTATTCTCGTATAGTTTATATTAGACGTCGACTTTACTAAACCACTGCTAGAAATCTTAGCAAACGCCTGAAAAACAACAACAAAATGCACCATCCATCAAACGAATATGTTCCAGTTTCTTTAATAAATATTTAGTCAACACTCAGCGTGCGTACAAGTTTGTGAATCGATAGCTCTACTGCTGCTGGAAAGCCCCGACTTCAAGGGGAATTCCGCAATCACGTGGCGTAATGGGAGAGTTTTGATTGGTTCTTAGACCAGTCATGATTTGCATGTTCTTCAAAACTTCCGCTCAAATATAAGTTTATTTCAACTGCTAATAAAAAAAATGAATCATCCCATAATTAAAGCTTATAGCAAAGTTAGACTATGAACTGTGCAAATCTGATGATCTGATTTCATAATAACTATGACAATGCAATAGACAAGATTGTTTTAGAAAGTATAATTTATTAATATTTTATATAGAAGTTGCATAAGAAAATACAACACCTGTACTGCCCTCGGTATATGTGCTGTATATAACTTGACAGCCAGATAAACTCTTCCCTAACATCAAGACTCTGAAGACATGTCCACAGGTTTATTGACGTTGTGAGGAAAAGTGAAACTGAAACATACAAAACGCATAATCAACAGATATAATCAAATGAAATTAATTAAATCTCCTTTTTTTCCTTTTACTGTCACAAGTTTATGTATTTAACAAATATCTTTAAATGTAATGTATGTATATTTAACATGTATTTAATTTTCTAATCACTGTTCTATCTGTACTGCATTTATATGAACTTTTAATGGTCTAGGAACAGTATAAACATTACCACAACGAAATGTCCATTAACTATAGTGAGGTAGATAGAGAATAATAGGCTTCTAACAATCAGCTCCATAAAATGTAACACTATCCCCAAATAATAATCTGCAATCATATATATTGTTAAAAACAGTCAATATATACCCACGATGCTACAACAGACGCAAGATGTATGCAAATATCACAGTATAGCTTCAGATCCACTAAACATGCTACTCTCTGTGTCATGCTTGCTCACTTCCTTATTACTGGTCACATGGCAGAACTCTTTACTGAAACTTAAGATTCTTAAAGGGACCACAACCAAATAAAGAAAAGCATAGATATTAGCTTCAAAAACTAAAACAAGACATGAAACATATTAAATGGTAACAAAACAACACCCAATATTTATTTTTTTTCCACTATGGACCATACTGAGGGTAGACACTACATTTTTATTTACAATTTACAATTTTTATTTAATACATTTTAAATTATAGACAAAGCAACACTAAAAATACATATTTTTAAAGAATATCCAGGATGCAAAAATACTCATGTGCTGTGAAAATTAGACATGATATATGACCTTAAGACAGTTTAATCATAGACCATAAAAATACATGGCATCTTCTTAAACAGTGTTGGGGAGTAACTAGTTACATGTAACGGCGTTACGTAATTTAATTACAAAATAAATGTAACTGTAATCAGTTACAGTTACTAAGAAAAAATGTGTAATTAAATTACAGTTACTTATGAAAATGTTAACGATTACAAAGGGGATTACATTTGAATATTTACACACATCCAGATACAGATTTAATTGATTTCTTTCCCAAATTGCACTGACTACTCTGAGACATACGGCCCTATAATTTCCGCGATGCGGAAAACACAGACTGGTTCGTAGAATCCAGTCATAGAAACGGAAGTCCTATAGCCTAACGCGGACGGAATGTGCCACATTTTGGACGAATACATCAAAAGTAGGTCAGTACACTTTAATCAAAACGCGATATGGACTAGTGTATGAGAATATTAAGCCGCAAAACGACAATATATGAATCCTGCACGTTCTGCGTGTCTGTGGAAATCAGGCGCGGACTGGCCATCGGGAGAACCGGGACAATTCCCGGTGGCCTGGCAGCCGATTTGGCCCGCTATTTTAATATTATTATTGTATAATTGCCTGCCGAATGTACTAAAGCGATTATTTCCGAATTCGCCATTCGATAATTAAATCTCTAATAAATCATGAATCGGTTAGTCGTGGCAATGCTTCGGCTCGCACGCTCTCGGCGCCTCCGCCACACGGTTTGGATCAGAGTAATCAATGCGAGAAAGAGAATGGAGTGGACATTTCCAAAGTAACCTTCCCAACACTGATCTTAAATATACACAAATATTCTTCACGACTCTAGTGAGCTGAAGTCTAATAATAAGAAGTTTTGAATGACAGGAATGCTGTTGTCATCACACTGGAAATGGCTTCGGACAGTCAGGAGAAATGTGTTCTTCATGGGGGTCAATATGGAACTAATCCTGTTAGCTACTACCTGGATGAACCTCACCTCTGATGCTGGGGCTAAAGACACACACACACACACACACACACACACACACACAAAACATGACTTTTAAAGTACCAATATTTAAACAAATCATGTAAAAGTATCATGATACAAATACAAGGAAGTACCTCACCTATGGTCTTATGTAGCTTATCTGGGGGAGTGTTCAGGAGGATCCTCTGCACTAGAGCAGGAGGAACTTGCACACAGATCTGATCATCTCCAGCTCGCACAGTTAAAACAACTGGCCTACAAAGACAAGTCATATTGAGAAAGTAGATCTAGATAACTAAAATTTCACTTTACTTATGCAGTTTTAACAATATAAATGTTTATTTGTATTATATCATTATCATTTATCATATATATCATTTATACATATAAATAATTATTTATTTCACTGATATTTGTAAATAATGACCACTAAACTGTATAATTGACCTTTGTCCCTGGCAGTCAGTTTCTTATGCTGTGCTAGTTCCATGTGTCTCAAAACCCATTGCAGTCTCTTTCTTCTCACATAAAATAATTAAAATGAATATTTATTACTTAAAATAATGTTGGTAATAATGTTGAATTTTCAATAGCCATTACTCCAGTCTTTAGTGTCACATTATCCATCCATCATTTTTTAATCATTTTTTGCTGCTATTTTATATATTATTATATATAATATATATTTATATATTATTTTTGTGGAATCAATGATACGCTAACATTTGGGGTCAGTAAGATTAAAAAAGAAAATTATTACTTTTATTCAACAAGTATACATTAAGTTGATCAAAGGTGAGAGTAAAGACATTTACATTTACATTTAATCATTTAGCAGACGCTTTTATCCAAAGCGACTTACAAATGAGAACAATAGAAGCAATCAGACCAATGAGAGAACAACAGTATACAAGTGCCATGACAAGTCTCAGTTAGTCTAGCACAGTACACGTAGCTAGGTTTTTTTTATTTTTTGTATTTATTTATTTTATTATTAAATAATAGAATGGAATAGAACAGAATAGAATAGGTAAGTGCTAGTATTAGTTGGTCAGGTGCTGGCGAAAAAGATGTGTCTTTAGATGTTTTTTGAAAATGGCTAAAGACTCAGCTGTTTGAATTGAGATCGGGAGGTCGGTCCGTGAGAGTGATTTTGTGCCTCTTTGGGATGGCACCACAAGGCACCGTTCACTTGCAGAACGCAAGCTTCTGGAGGGCGCATAAGTTTGAACTAGCGAGGTTAGGTATATTGGTGCAGCGCCAGTGGTGGTCTTGTAGGCAAGCATCAGTACCTTGAATTTGATGCGAGCGGCTAACATTATAACGTTACGTCTTGAGACGTATTGTGTATGTGTCTTGCTTTGCTGTTCCTCTCTCTCTCTCTCTTTTTCTTTCTCTTTTGTCACATCCTTTCTTTCACAGGATTGGATCCTACCAAAGTGATGTCCAGATCTGATTGGTGCTAATGGGACCAAGGAGCAGCAATAAAAGGATCTGTTGTGCCTGAGGAGGGAGCTCTGATCAACTTGTGATTTCCTGTTGTTCCATTGCACATGTGCTATTGTGTGTTTGCTACAGTGTGTTGTCGCTGTTAGCTTGCCTGTTGATCTGCCTGTTGTGTGCAGTGTGAATTTTGGTTTTGAGTTGATAAGTTGTTGTCAATCTCATTTCCATTTTGTATATTTTGTAAAGTATTGTAAATACTCTTTTCCACACTTGGAAGCTGTAGGGGGTGAGTGCCATTTTCTTTTGTAAATATTGTTTTCTCCTGTTTTTCATTAGATAGGGAGTTAGGGTAACGTGTTGTATTTTTATTTTGTTTTTCTTTTGTTAGGGAATTTAGTCTTCTGTTAGGAGCTAGCTTGGTGTTTTGTTTGTTGTTTTGGCCTTTGCCCACCCCTGAAGTTGTGCTTTCACTCGTGGTTCTGTAAATAAATGTATAAAGGATCTTTGATTGTTAACGTCAGTTTATGTTGCGGCCTTACCCTACGACAGGGTCGTAACAATAAAGACATTTATAATGTTACAAAATATTTCTAGTTTAAATAAATGCTTTTCTTTTTAACTTTCCTTTAATCAAAGAATCCTAAAAAAAAAAAACAGGAAAAATGGTTTTCATTATTGATAAGAATCATTATTAATAATTGAGGACTAATAATAATTGATAATAAATAAGCAACAAATCAGCATATTGGAATGATTTCTGAAGGATCATGTGACATTGAAGACTGGAGTAATGCCATCTCAGGAATAAATTGCATTTGAAAATATATAAAAATAGAAGTCATTTAAATTGTTATAATATTTCACAATAATACTGTTTTACTATATTCTTGATCAAATAAAAGCACTCTTGGTGACCAAAAGAGTAAAAAAATAAAAGGAAATAATTGTGTGTGTGTGTGTGTGTGTGTGTGTATATATATATATATATATATATATATATACACATACTTTTGATGAGACAGAGAAAGATATCAGACCTATAGTAGCGACGCACTCCTGTGTGTGGCAGACATGGGTAGCAGGGTCTGTATATGCTGTTCTCATCTGTTTCCAGTTCTGCAGAGCACTGACCACATCCAGCAAATATGATGTCACCAGAGACTACGTCCAAGATCGTCTCCAAGGGCGTGTTGCCATTTATTACCTGCGAGGCCTCCTGGGATGGACTGCTCTGGAACTGGAACGCTGTGATTTTAACTCTCAGATCCACATCACCTAATGAGTGTGTAAACAAGAGAGTCTTAATGTAACCATGATTAATTATACTACACAAATGCATTGTTAGCATCAACAAATAGTTCTACCGGAGTATTTCTGGGACAGGAGTGTGCTGAGATCAATCTCAAAGCTGCTAGCAGTCCTCTGTGAGCGGACAGTGTTGTAAAACTCCTTGCATCGATTGTCATCAGGAAAGAGAGGCTGACAGCTGCTCCATGGAGTAGAATGCAGCTCTAGCAAACCTGAAGTCACATCTTGTCTGACTAGCAGCAACCTGAACTCCCACACAGCATCTGTAACATGCATTAGCAATACAAATTATGTACAATATCAAAAAACACTCAAACTTCATTGCTTTATTACAGTGGTTGTTCAACACAACAATTGAAAGCCACAAAAAGCAAGTATTTATATATTAATTTTGTGATTTACAGAAGTTAAATACTATATGTTCTTAAAAAAATAGCATTTTGCATTTGCAAAACACAATTTTTAACATTTTATTATATTAATATGTATATATTTAATATTTTAATATATTACTAATAATAACAATTTGTTAATTTTAATATTAAATAATACATTAAATAAACATTATTTAAGTCATCCTGCGGCCACTCTGTAAGGTTGCTGAGGCCCCCTACTGGGCCCCGGCCCTCTGGTTGAACCACTGAATTATAAAACACCTTTGTTCCTCTCCAAACGCTGCAACCAAGAGAGAGCAGCTCCCCAAAGTACGACAGCACCTTGGAGACCATCTCCTTGCTCCACATTCAAAATGGCTTTTAGTACACCTCCTACTCTGGATGTCCCCTCTGCTTCATCACGCCAGGCTAAGATCAAGCAAAACAGCATTATGAACACAAATAAATGTCTTCTAGTTGCCTTTGAGATTTGATTGTTTAGTATGTGAAGTACAAGGCACATATAAACCAATTTATTAAATGTCTCTCCGGAATACTCGATTCTGATTGGTCAACAGTGTCGTCCAGTGGTCTATCAGAACGCTCACCTGGGTAACTGAAACCGGTGCTACTTTAATTGTTATGACATCGCTATATCATCTGAAACAGTGGATTATAATGCAGTTCTATACCTGTGATTAACTTCCAGTGTTTAACCCTAAGCAGAGCGTGAACCAATGTGTCAGGACGTAAAGCTCCAAGGCGGATGAAGGGGATGGAGTGCAAATCCTGAGGCTTCTGAGGAGGCAGAGACACCAAGAGGGGGCGCTTCTCACACAGATGAGTGCACAGTGTTCTCAATGTATGACAGTTCAAATTCTGTGGGGCTAAACAAGATTAGCATTACATAAGAAGGGAATAACCTATACTGTCAAATACATAACAGTTACATTACATAACATAATCTGTTTACAAAATGTAAATGTAAACAGACATTGCAATGTGACATCTATACCTTTAACCTGGCAAAATGCTTAGGTTAAGCCTCAGTAGTAATTATGTTTCTGTTACCAGGTGGAATACGTTCCCTTGTGACCTGTCCCAAATTCAGCAGCTTACTGGTGAAGGACGACTGCAGGACAGTCTCAGTTTTCCACTTGTCTATGTGCACTGTCACTTCTGCCAAAGCAAAGACAGAAAGACAACTGTGAGTGAAGCATGAGGACATTTCATTAGAGTGCATATCTCACCGGTGTTTTCTTTCAACCACACATCCATTTTGACCACTTTATTTTAAGATGATTCACGGTTTTTCTGGATATATAGGTTGAACAAGCTGGTGATTCACCGTTTGTTGGACTGACAGGTCATGATTTTAGAGGATCATCCTCATATTCTTGTTTTCTTGCTTAGTTGTACATTTCCTATGTTCACACCCATTCTGTTAATGCACAAAAATTCATTCAAATGCATGCTTAAAAATACATTCCTACAAAAACAGTAAACACTACTGTTTGAAAGTAACATACTGCATGACCTTAAAATCAGGATTTTTAAATAGATGGTGTCGTCTAAATAAGTCTGAGTTTCAGAGTATATTGTGTGTATAAATATATATACAGCATATGCTTTACAATGTAAAATAATTTATTTCTATTTTAATATATATTAAAATTTAATTTATTTCGATGATGGCACAGCTGAATTTTCAGCAGTCTTTATTCCTGTCTTCAGTGTCATGATCTTGCAGAAATCATTCCAATACGCTGATTTGCTGCTCATTAAACATGTTTTATTATACATTTATTTTGAAAACAGTTGCCTGCTTAATATTTTTGTGGAAATCATGACACATTTTTCGAGTATTCTTGATTAATAAAGTTCAAAAGAACAGAGTTAATTTATTGTCTGTAATATTTATACGAGAACGTGAGTAAACAACCAAGTTAAATCATAACTTAATTGGTCAATAAACATGAATTCTGATTTATTCTTGAAGCAACTGTATTAAATGAGAGATTGCACAGTGTTTAACATCTTACACATTTTATGAATTAACATAAAATCAGACTTTTTTTGGACACTTGGCAACGATACGATATAAAAAGTGTTAATTCATAGATCTAAGGAGGAGGTCTCAGTGGTTTCACCTGTAATGAGCAGAATTTCTCCTGGAAAAACTGTCAGAGCCCAGAAAGCCGCTGTCCTCCATAACACCATCTTCATCTCCACGTCTGATTGGTCTGTAACAATCAGTGTTGCTAAAGGTACACTGGTTCCAGCCGAAGCTCCAGTTTTCACTTTGACTTCTTTTAAGTGGCATGGATGCATCACAGCAACCAAGATGTTGTATCGTACACCATGAGTCTTACACCTGGCCAGCAGGGTTGTAGGGCCACAGAGGGGGGCAGCAGTTGTTCTTGCCCTCTGCTTTGTTTCTTTAGTTTTACTTACAGTCTGAGACAACTTCATCCTTTTAGAAGTAGTGGGACTAGGTGAAGTCTGTGCAATTGTAGATGGTGAGTCAATATTAAACCCAACTTCCTCATGACCCACAGGTTTTTCAGCCATAGCATTACCCTGAGAGCAGAGGATACCGTCAGTTGTGATTTCCAGAATCACCCCTCTCTCCTGCTGTCTTTGGCTTAGACTCTCATTATGCCACTCTCCTGAGCTTTGCAAGGTTCCCCCCAAGCCCCTCTCTTCAGGGCTGACCACAGGACTGTACAATTCTGGGGAACTTATAGATGATGAGGGCGTTTGTATGGGAGGGGTGTGTGGAGAACCAAGAAGAAAGTCATCAGGAAAGTCAGAAGTTGGACATTGGGCCACTCTACCTCGAAGAAGCAAGGCTTGGGACTTTGTCCATGTACTCAGATACTCAGTCTCTGTGGAAACAGGTGATGTAGGCCTTCCATCTCTGCCTTGTCTACTCAAACTATGCGAGCAGAAGCAACTATCTAGGTATTCTGTCACTAATACAGGACACAATTCCTCTTCTTCAACAGACTCTGCCTTTGACTGAAAGCACTGGCTGCCCGATGGAGTGCCGTCATCCTGTGATGTTTCCGTTTTGTCCTCTGTATTCTCAGATACTCTGTCAGAGGTAACAGCAGTTTGCATTCTACCACTAACCATCGCAACACACTCATCTGTTTGGGCTTCTCTAATGGTGTCTTTGGGAATCAACCTGCCTTGACACCAAGTGAGGTCTATTGTCTTCCAGGGTGGGGCTGCTCTCTCCTGCACGTCTTCAGCGAGTGCTTGGGGACATGGGGCACCCAAAAAGACATGAATCTTTGGTTTGTGTGCCATTTTCCTGTCCTTAGAAGTTGCACTGATATTGGCCCAGTCATAAGATTGCCAGGGCTTGTACTATATTTGCAGATAGATTAAAGTGGCCATCTGTAAAAAAATAGAAATGCATACTGTTAGTAAAAAAGTCCACAAAATGATTAAAGGATTGGTTCACTTCCAGAATAAAAAATTCCTGGCAATTTACTCATCTCCATGTCATCCAAGATGTTCATGTCTTTTTTTCTTCAGTCGCAAAGTTTTTGGAGAAAAACATTCCAGGATTTTTCTCCTTATTGTGGACTTTTATGGTTCCCAACGATTTGAACTTCCAAACTGCAGTTTCAATGCAGCTTCAAAGGGCTCTACACAATCCCAGCCGAGGAATAAGGGACTTATCTAGTGAAACAGTCGTCATTTATATACTTTTTTAACCACAAATGCTCGTCTTGCACTGATTGCCAGGGCTTCTACTATATTTGCAGATAGATTAAAGTGGCCATCTGTAAAAAAAATAGAAATGCATACTGTTAGTAAAAAAGTCCACAAAATGATTAAAGGATTGGTTCACTTCCAGAATAAAAAATTCCTGGCAATTTACTCATCTCCATGTCATCCAAGATGTTCATGTCTTTTTTTCTTCAGTCGCAAAGTTTTTGGAGAAAAACATTCCAGGATTTTTCTCCTTATTGTGGACTTTTATGGTTCCCAACGATTTGAACTTCCAAACTGCAGTTTCAATGCAGCTTCAAAGGGCTCTACACAATCCCAGCCGAGGAATAAGGGACTTATCTAGCGAAACAGTCGTCATTTATATACTTTTTTAACCACAAATGCTCGTCTTGCACTAGCTCTGTGATGCACATGCGCGACTTGACACATTATGTAGTCACGCTGGAAATGTCACGCACGGTTAGTTCTTCGTCTGTGTACTCCGGTACAAAAGGTTAGGGTAGGGCGAAAAAACTTCAAAATCATCCAACATCATTGTTTTACATTTTTTTTTGTAAAGGGCATTTGACTTTCTTTACACGTTCGCTTTGTAAACACTGGGTCGGTACTTCCGCCCATGTCACATGTGACCTTTCCAACGTGATTACGTAATGTGTGAGGTTGGGCTAGTGCATTTGTGGTTAAAAAGTATATGAATTTTAGTTAAGAAAATGACAGTTTGTTTCGCTAGATAAGACCCTTATTCCTCGGCTGGGATCATGTGCCCTTTGAAGCTGTATTGAAACTGCGGTTCAGACCGTTGAGAACCATAGAAATCCATTATATGGAGAAAAATCCTGGATTGTTTTCCTCAAAAAACCTTCATTTCTTTGCGACTGAAGAAAGAAAGACATGAACATCTTGGATGGCATGGTGGTGAGTAAATTATCAGGAAATTTTTGTTCTGGAAGTGAACTAATCCTTTAAAGGCATAGTTCAGCCACAAATTAAAATTCTGTCATTATTTACGCACCCTCAGGATTTTCTTCTGCAAAGACAAAAGAAGACATTTTGAAGAATGTTTCAAATGTATTTGTCCATACGAGAAAATCAATGATGTCCAAAACAACATTGGATCCAACTGACTTTCATTATTTGAACAAAGGGACATGGAGAAACTTTTTTTCAAAATATCTTCTTTTGTGTTCCACAAATTAAAAAAATTAATCTAGGTTTGGTATGACATGAGTGGGAATAAATAATGACAGAATTTTCAGTACTGGGCAAATTATCCCGTGTTGTTATATTGTTAACTAAAACTTAAACTAAAACTATTAAAAATGTATTTTAATTAATTGAAATAAAGCTGAAATAAAATATAAATATTCGTTTAAAAACTAAAAATAAGTTTAGGCTGAAGTACAAAAATTACTCAAACTGAAATAAAAATAAAGCTAAATAGAAATATAAAAAAATAAAAATAAAAATGGCAAAACACATAACAGAATTACTAACATAAAAAGTAAATTGAAAAGTGAATGTATAAAAATAAAAGCTAATTCAAAAATGCTAATAATATTATCAGAATATATAAATAATAAAATTACACTGGCTATCTAGCTATCCTATTAAATATTATCAAAAGCCACACAGCTGAAAATGCTAAATTCCACAAAGGAAAATTCCAAGCAAGTTCATTGAGGAAGAAAAGCATGAATCTACTAAAAACCTCCACAGCTGGTGGGAATAACTGAGAGCATTTTAATGTGTCTGTGCAAGTGTGCATTCCTCAGATCAGTTGTTTTCACGTAGGAAAAGAACAAAAACAGCAGTTTAATGAGTGACTCTCCAGAAATTCACCAACCAGATACTGGGTGTAGGCACCACATGAGCCAATAACAGAGCAGTACAGGCTTCTTTCAAACCAGTGTGATTTATTGCAGGCAGAATTTGTAGACTGAGATGGAGGAGTGGTATACTAAAAAGAAGAAAAAAAGACTGAAAAAAGACTTGCTTTTTTTTCTTGCTTTAGCTGATTCTCACATGCATTCAAGGTGTAAGGAAACCATGTGAAACAAACATGAATACAAACATATGAAAATATGGCACATGTGTTTTAAACAATTTCCTTGTCTTGATCATGGACACTTTTACTATATATGAAAAAAAGGAATCCATTGCTGCTCTCCACATATATGATCCTCAGAGGCAATGGAGCATGTACACATTGAGACATATCATGGGAGACTGCAAAAAACAAGCACAAATTCTTCCCTGGAAAACAATCAAAGAGGCCCTGCAAGAGCTGATCTCCAGAGCAGGATGTATTTCAGGCAGGAACAAATTACAGCAGACACAAAGAAGATATGACATAACTCCTCATGTCACTGTAACCGCAGGTGAAATAAAGGAGGACATCTACACTGAACAACTGCTAGTGCTAATACTACACTGTAAGACCCAACGAGTTAAGGTAACAAACCATTTGAGGAAAATGATTGCTTTAAACATTCAAGTTAAAAATAATTATTAATTTGAGTCCACAAAAAGAGAATAAAAATCAGTATAAATCAATGTATAAATCCGCTCAAATACTTTCTGTAGCCAAGGCTTAACTAAACTGCATAAACTTCACCTTAATCTCTTGCAGTTAACTGCAAGCTAGGTAACTAATTATATAATTACATATGACTATTACTAATACTAAGCTGCTGTGTGCAGCATATATTCTTAATGTTATTTGGCCCATCCTTGAACTAATCACATGCTCTACCCACACACACACACAAAAAAAAATCAATCAGTTTGAGTTATGCTTAATATAATCAGTTCATGCAGTTTTTTTCTATTAAGCACAATGAACTTTCAGTAGCATTTAACTAAAATGATATTGCTTAATTTAGTACATTTTTCTGTATGGTTTCAGGTAGGAAGCAGACACTTTAACTGATTTATGAGACTGGAGTTATGAAGCTACTCCATCATGGGCTGGAAAAGGCCAATAACCCTGACACTAACTAATCACAGTCAGCAGGGCCTCTGCTGACCTCACATGACCTCAGTTGAGCAAGAAAATGACAGCCTGGATAAGCGAAAACAGAATAACCTCCTGCCCTTTATCACAGAAATAACTATATTTAAATACTGTTAATATGCACTGAGTTCAATGAATCTGCTGTGTGTTTGTTTGGCTTCTAACAAATGACTAGATAAGCACAATTACCAAAGTAGAGTTATGACGAATTGGAAAACTGTTGTAGTCCTTATATAGCAACTTAAAAATTCACATTCAAGATATGACTGTAACTTGAAAGTCTCCTAACGTAACATTAAGCATATACATTTTGCATTCTGCTCTTTTTATGTAGATTTCAAGTATTTTAGTTCATACAATAATACATTTATTTCAATCCTCTGTTGAAAAAAAAATAGAAAGCATCACATAACTTGTAATGGCTTTACTGGTTATAATGAAAATTGTATTGGTTTTAATGGAAACTGTAATGGTGCCCGTTGGTCTCTACTGGTAATTGGTCACCTTCTATTCATGGCTTTTGTTAAAGTCACTAAATCCTAATGTAATATGTCCCAAAACACACTACAGGAAACCATTTTTTAATGGTTTTAACGGTTAAAAGTTGATGTTTTGTAATGTTTGTAATGGTATTTGTAGTGGAAATCATTCGAATTTCTGTGATGGTTTCTATTGTTTTTGTCAGCAGGGTCACCATGGGTTTTGTGATGTTATTTGCCATAAATGCAACAGGATTGCTGTAATATTGTGAGATAGTAGCGACTGTTTGTAGTTGTGGTGGGCCTATTTGGGAGAAAATCCAGGGCCGTTTTTTACTCCCAGTCCGTCCCTGAGCATAATTTATTTGAGCACACTTTATTAACCTTATTTTACTCATAAATCATAGCAATGCTAAAACACAGAAAATATTCCAGGGGGAATCACGGCTCAAAAAGCAAATTCTCTATAATAGCACATCCTTAGACAACAATACTTTCAAAAAGTAGGTTAATTATGTTATTTAAAGGCATCAGTCTGTTTTGAAAACCTATTTCAGGTGGCATTCCTTGCTATAAAATAGAAAGAAATCTGTTACACCCCCCCACGTTCTAGTCGTGACACTTATACAGTTCAGTACCTCAAAGAACATTTCCCCCAAAAAATGAAAAACATTTTAAAGAGGTATTACGTTTATTTCATGGACAGCAGCAACTTTATACTTGTACATATTGTTTCAATACTTTTTCCATAAGTTCAAAGCGCAGTGTTTGCTTATGGGTTCCTGCTCTTTGAGCGCCTCCCAGCTTGAGGTGGAGACCCACGGCACGCCGCCTGCCTGCCGTTTAAAACTTACGAACAGTACTCAAGCTGACACTGTAGAGTAGAGAAGAAAAAGGAGGAGCCCTGGTGTCCGCTTATTCACCCGCCCCACCCTTTGACACGGTCTTAATTTTTTCTCTTTGTAGATACTGTTAAGTTAGTGTTTTAATTCAAAATCATGTATAGGTATCTGGGGGAGCTCGTCACCCGCGCAGCCGCCAGAAGCTCGCTGGCCTCGGGATGCGTCGACTCCGCTTTGCCTACTTCCGCGAATCTCCTGCGCGTCCGCCGTTACAGCGAAGCCGTGGGAGAGAAAGACGATGACCCTAACTTCTTTAGGATGGTCGAGGGTTTCTTCGACCGCGGAGCTTCTATCGTGGAGGACAAACTCGTGCATGATCTCAAGACGAGAGAAACGCCCGAGCAGAAGCGGCACCGAGTGCGGGGGATCCTCAAGATCATCAAGCCCTGCAACCACGTCCTGTCCGTGTCGTTCCCCATCAAGAGAGACAACGGGGAGTGGGAGATGATCGAGGGCTACCGAGCTCAACACAGCCAGCACAGGACTCCGTGTAAAGGAGGCAAGTTCATGCGTTATTTACACCGGAGTTAATAGGAAGCAGACGCGCTCTCGAGAGAAAACATGTAAACTAAAGACACATATCACTTACCTGTCGAAGCATCTTCAGATGTTTTGCATTATGACGTGATTCTGCGTGTGTCCAACACATTAATTTACACGCATTAGCTTTGTAATTTGTCAGAGAGTGATAAATAGGCCTCGCGTGCCATGAATTTGGAAAAAATCCTGCGTCGCGGTTGCGCAGCAGCGACACTCCGCGACTGTTCCAATTATATCTCGACTGTTTGCGTGCAAGCGTTTCAAGCTGCACAATAATGAAATCAATATGCAGTGTACTGTAGCTGGTAATAAAGCGGCTAATAAATAGGTGTTATATCGGAATAAACTGGTTTCATTTATTTAGCTGGTCTATTAGCTGGTCTAATGTGTACATTAGGTGAGATGGTCACTTGCTGGTTTGTTGCAGTAAAATGACCAGCTTGTGTCCATCTTAGAACATTAAAACATAGTTTGACCAGCTTAAGCTGGTTTGAAGACCATTTGGTTTTTGGTTTGTTTCTGGTACAAGATGTTATACAAGCTAATGACCAACATAGACCAGCTGGAATCCAGGTGCATATTCCAAATTACAGCTTGAAATGGGTTTTTCAACATCATAAAACCATCTATACATTCCATACACAATATGCATTGCATTTAATGTTTTATAATATGTAGGAGAGAGGAAAGGCTTATCATTAAAAACACATCCTGCATTGCTTCACCATTTTAGGTTTACATTTGATCAGTTTTTCAGCAGGAATGCTGCCTGTCCTGTTCATATGTTTATTTTATTGGGTAGTTCTGCTTTCTTTTTGTATCTTAGCCCCCCCCCCCCCCAGAACTGGACAGAAATGGAGAGAAGAAGAAAAAACAGGCTCAGTCAAGAGCAGTCAAAAGAAGATATTTTGGAGATTGTTAGTAACCAAACAGTTGCGGCTAGCCATTGGATTCCATAGTACTTTTTCCATACTATGGAAGTGAATGCCTAACGTCAACTGTTGAGTGAGTAAATGATGACAAAAATGTCATTTTTGTATGAACTATCGCTTTAATTTGAAATGAATTACTAGCTCATCGTCCATGAATTCAAGAACTTGCCACTGCTGTTCAAGCAGCGCTTTTGAGGCCGATTGAAAACAGAGATGTTTGGGGTAGTCACACTGGCTTTAACCACACCCAGTTTGGGCCCTGCCTAGATTTTCTTCCCTTGTACTTCAGTGGAGAGAGTGAATCATCACGATGGTTGGTTTACTGCCTGTCCTGCCACACAAAATTTCCCCTCTAAGAACTGTAGACCTATTATTTATTTTTTTCCCAAGGCCGTTAGAGCATTTGGATTTTCCAGACCTCCTACTCTAAACAGCATATTGCCCGGATCATCAATGCTATTTTAACTGACATACAAGGCAGCGGACAAATATTTGGCAGCTTTCATTCTGTTATATATTCTTTTTTCCCAAGAGCTTTAAAACACCCTAAAATGTCCTGAATTATATAAGAACTCAAGTAATATAAAAAAGGTTATCAAAGTGTTGTAAGCTTTAATCGATAGAGAATATCCTGTCTTAGCATCATAAAACAAAGGCTATAATGCATGTGATTTATTTTGATGCTTGTTTAATGACTTGAGTGATCTACAAACATTATTTGCATAGACCTACAGTCTGATGGATGAGGACACTGCTTCTGTTTCTCCAGGTATCCGTTACAGCACAGAGGTGTCAGTGGATGAGGTGAAAGCCCTTGCCTCACTAATGACATACAAATGTGCAGTTGTAGGTAAGTTTGCTTATGTGTAAATTTATTTGGCTGTGGTTGTTAGTGTGAACGTTTAATCATTCGCATGAACTGTGTTCTCCACAGATGTGCCTTTTGGAGGAGCTAAAGCGGGGGTGAAAATTAACCCAAAGAATTACTCTGTGAGTGTTTTCTTCAGATTCTCTGACTAAATATAATTTTGGAAGATGGTAAGAGACATTAACTTAAGATATTTTGCCTCTAATAATAAATGCTCCTGCAGAATGTCTAGATATGTATTTGCATTTTCTAGAGCCCATCCTCTTTAGATGATGTTGAAGATTTTATGACATTGTTCTAGAAAAAACAGTAAGATTGCTACTATTGGACCGATGTTCAGAAACTCTGGAACCAACCAGATTCAGAATGGTGTTTATTTCTTGACATGCAAAGTAAAATCCTATAGGGTTTTATGACTGTCCTTTGTTTGTTTGTAATTAATCATTGGTGAATTAAACATGCAATCTTGAGTTTAGTGTTCTGATGACAGACTCCCCGTCTACAGCTGGAACAACGAATGCTCAAGCATTGCTTTCTTAATGTATACTTTCATATTGTTAATCACATTATAGTCGCTGATGTCCCGCCATTTTTTGTTTTCCTTACACAGGACACAGAGCTGGAGAAGATCACAAGAAGGTTTACTATTGAGTTAGCTAAAAAGGGCTTCATTGGTGAGATATGAGCAGGCACAAAATGAATCTTTTCCCGAGTTCAGCAAAATATTGTTGATATTTGTTGATCCCAAATGACATCAGTTTAGCATATTTTACTATTTAGACAAGAATGAAGCAGGAATTCTATGGCAGATTAAACTGCAACACAATAACACTGCTTAACAATTGTAATGTAATACTTATCATCAGATGGCACAGTTAAGATTAACAGCCAGGCTGATATTGACACCACTTCTACATTACAAGATATTTAACCTGTAGCCCAAAAGCCTAGATAAGCTGTATTCATATCATATTACAATAGTCTGCAAAGAGCTTGTAACAGAACCAACTTTCCTTAAGTAGGTGGTGTTTTTGAGTCTGTGCAGGATTCCCACACTGTACTGTAGCTTCTCTCATAAAATTGTGCAGTGACACAGTTGCCACAATGTGACAATTATCACATAATACATTGTATGTATAGTGTATTTTATGATTGCCATTATTGTGTCCAGATATTTAAGTTAAATATCTGAGCCATGGCCATGGGAAGGGCGGATCAGTAGCACACTCATTTCTGTTTCCTTTGGCAGGGCCTGGCATTGACGTCCCAGCCCCGGACATGAGCACAGGAGAAAGGGAAATGTCCTGGATTGCTGACACATATGCTAACACAATGGGCCATCATGTAAGTTGAGGAACCTGACCAAGCGTTCATATAGTTTACAACAGGTTTGCTGAAATTAATTTAACCCAAACCACTTAACATATAAAGAATAATACTGTTTTGTATGTAATTTCCCCTATAGTAGTTTTATCTATTTTTAGCATTCAAAATGCATCTAGCAGCAACGATGTTGTTGTAATATTTGCAGTTGTCCTCTTTTTTAAATCTCTTTGCATAGCAAATGGTGATTCGTTTCGTCTTCCATGCATTTCCATGTATCTTAACTATTTATACCTGTCTTACATGTTGATGCTTCTGTAAACAAGACATACTTACGATGGTTTTGTGTAAATAGTATACTCTCTCTTTTGCTGCCTTGCAAACACTTCCTTCAGGAAATTCAGATCTAGTTTCCCCCATTTCATAGCATAATATTTTAGATAAATACAGCAAATACAGAAAATGTATTTGATGCATACATTACCTTGAAATGGTGCAGTGATTTCTTAAGCTTTTACACATATTGTAGCTATGTTGAAAAAGCACACAGGATATCTGTAAGAATTAACAAACAGATTGTGGCTGTGCTGGTGACTCAGTGCCCAGAGCCTTTACTGTCCCTGACAAAGAGCATGGTGTTTATAGGACCGAGAGAACAAAGCACCCTCTACTGACAGACTCTTTCAATACAGTCTGTCCTCCCATGGCAGTCATTTGCTTTGTCTAGGTAGCCGTGATGTTCTGTCCTATTTGTGAGCTGCCCTGTAGCGAGATAATTGAAAGGGCATGAGAGATATGCTGTAACATCAACAGGACCTTATACTGAATAATAGTCATAATAACACAGTAACACAGACCTCATAGCTTTGTGCCTCATTATTAGAGTTGAGGTTATTCTGTTTGAATGCAAACAACATTCTTCTAATGCTTAGAATTCTAATTCTAAAATATCATTCTTCTTTATCAGGATATCAATGCTTATGCCTGTGTTACTGGTAAGCCCATCAGCCAGGGTGGAATCCATGGGCGCATATCTGCCACTGGCCGTGGTGTCTTCCATGGCATTGAAAACTTTGTCAATGAGGCTGCTTACATGAGCCAGCTGGGCCTGAGCCCGGGGTTTGGAGACAAGACATTTGTCGTTCAGGTTTGTGCAAGTCAATTAAACTTAAACCACACTTCAAGTTTATGAAATTGATCTAAAAGTACTACTGTATTTTCTGTTTTCTTTCATGGTGGAACTTACATGCACGTTGTCCATTATCTCACGACTCTGTTCCAGCAGTTAGTGTATGCTGACATGGACCATTCTGACTTTGCTTATCTAAAGACTTTAAATATTCAGAATGTGCTTTTAGATGCCCAAACAATATTTATTAAGAATGCTTAAAAGCGTGCAAGACCTTCAAATGTTACACTTCTGACATAAATGATTAAAAACTCATTAATTTTACTACGTGTTGCAACACTTCATTGTAATGTCAGAGAAATAAAAATATATTGTAAATATAAACATAATTTAGAAGTAATTGGGACAGGATGAAGGATTTTTCATGTGATATATTTAATGGAGTAATAATGAAATATTGTGCCTTTTGTCTTCAACGACAATACCAAGAACTAATATTGTGCTTTTTTGCAGCATAAACATGGTTTAACTCATTCATCTGGTGCTAAATACAAGTAGAAATGAGCGGTTTTATTTATATATTTTTTTAGTTAATACATTTTTGTGTGTGTACTTGTGTCTAAATATGTGTAAACAATTCAAACCAAATAAATTCACTTAGGGTTAGGTAAAATACCTTAAGATACTAAATGTATCTTTTTATACTGAATATATCTTGAATTGAGTTTTTGTACCATTGGTATTTATCCCCGTTTTAAGCATAAATCTAAAAATATAGTTAGATTATGATTAGACTATTTGTCAGAGACTCAGAAGGGTAAGGAAATGTATGTTAATTCAAGCTATGTTCTCTTCAATCTTTAACTTGAACTTCTGAAGTGTTTTTTGTTTTAGTGATGGTTAGGTATTTTAATTTTAACACAAGTACTGACTTTGTTTTGCAGTGTATTTAGATGTTTAGCAATGTTCATGCACTAAATCC